AGGCCCTACCGGGTGAAACAAGACCGTATTGGTTTCTTTTCTTTATCAATTTAGGTGACCGCCCCTAGGTTAGAGAAACGGCGCCGATTTAGAATTTCGTAGAAGCTTCTTGGACCCGTAGATTGGAATTGGGCGTGTAGTCCAAACATTTTAGATTTTTGTAGAAGCCTCTTGGAACCGTAGATTAGAATCGAACACCTTGTGAATCGATATGGACAGGTATTCTAGAAACTTGGATGGACCCACTATGCCCTACGTCAAAGGACGAAACGTTTTAGACTGGCGAGCGCATAAGATTGGTGGGCCCAAAAAAATAGTGTGTCACTCACGTGTGTGCTGCGCACATCCACGTAGGTCGACATTTTACGGGCGCCACAGACCCGTAATTTAGATGCATGTGACAAACATGCAAAAACTTCACTAATTTTATATCTTTGTCGGTCCTGATGGTGTGTGCAGAATATCAAATCGGTTGATTGTTGGACTAAATGTGGTTTTGGCAATATTAATTTGTTAAATCAATCTGCCTAACTTTATCAAGCATCAAAATTGTTAAATCATTTCTCCCAACCTATATCTGGTATGTCCAAAATGCTCATCATTTCTCCCAACCTAAATTTGGTATGTCCAAAATGCTCATCACTTCTCCCAACCTATATGGACTGTCTAAATCGGTTCTGATAATGTACTAAATAGGAAAGTCGAACTGACCAATTCGGTTTGATGGTTGTCCAATTGAATTTTCGTTTGTCCAAATCGCTTCACCGTGATTCTAAATTACCTGGTCAAAGGAGTAATAAAAGAAAAGGAAGAGAAAAAAAAGAGAAAAAAAAGTCTCTACTACAACTGTTAGGAACCGTCCGATTCAACATTTTTTAGAGTTGCAGTCTGGATTTGGACGTAGATACGAAACACAGCGCTTCATCTTCATTTTTCCTCTCGTTTTGTTTTCTTTTCTTTACATTTTTATTTTCAAACTTCTTACAGTCACTGTACCTATCCCATAACCTAACTACTGGGACTTGGTGCGCACCGGTCCTTCACTGTCGCGTCTCTGGGCAAGCTCAGCGGTTACCACGACCACAGACCGTAGTGCTTTGCTGTTCACCAGGGTGCCGAGCCTGCGTGGACGAAAGGAAAGTCCAGTGGTGCACCACACCTGGACCAGCCCTGTAGCAAAGCACCAAGTATGACGGACGCACTGCAGAGGGGAAACCATCCACATGCAAGGTGTGCCTTGTGCAACCGCGGGTAGTGAGCAGACGTCTGGTACGCCGCGAAGGTTCGTGAGCAGGCGTCTGATTCGCTGCAGAGGGTCGGGACACCGCGCCAACGTGGACCAAGCCAACCACAACCCATGATCCACATCTGCAAAACAACTATTGGGGATGTCACAACAATCTTCAGAGTTGGCACACACGACCACAAAAGAGGAACAAATTGAAAACATAACACATTAATCCAACGACGCATCCACAACCCCTCCCACCAACCACAAAGATTTTGGAACCTAAAATGAACTTGATACACATCCTCCACCCGATCTCGAACAATCTCCAAACAACATGGGAGAGACACCTAAAAAAACAGACTCCCACCACACAAACGCCGAAGAACATGCCCAAACCCACTATCCAAACCCAACCGGCAACCTCCCTCCCTCCCTCCAATAACAATGGAATCAAAGTCGAAGAAAGTGACTCTCTACCTGCACTTCACTCCCCTTCCTCACAAAAAACCATTGATACACATCTGCATCAAACAACTCCTCACACACCCCCTCGTCCCTCACTGAAACCATTGTTAGATCTTACCAATGACACAAAGTTGGACCAATATATGTGTGGCATTGACATTGACACACTTACTCAGAATCGGAGTAAAGGCACACCTTTGTCTTTGACACAACATGACACATCGACAAACGAACTCCAAGCACAACTAAACGACACTTTTTCCACACAAGTTGTACCAAATGGAACTGAATGTCAACCACACAGCGTACTATCTCAATTGTCCGACCTCCCAACCTTCGACCCCTTTGCCAGCGCACATTGCAGTTCACCAGTCCGAAAATAGACCCCCAAACCTCCAAAATACAAGCCCAAAATTGGCTAAAGAAAGCCATTGAGATTGGTTTACCCAAACTCATTGACGCCTTGCTGTGGCAAGATTTTGTGCAACACACTCTTCCAACTCCGGATATACTTCTCAGATACCAACACGACAAAGAGCAACGCATCATGTCGTATCTCCCTTGCAGACACAAAGAATATAACATTCATAGTCAACAAGACAACATAGCAGTCCTAAATAACCTTCTCACTTTTGGTTACCAAGGCAAAAACCGAAAGAACAGACATTGGCGGAATACAGAAACGATAGAGTGCATGATATTCATTCACTCGTTCACAAAACAAAACAGACAATGCACAACCAGCAATGCTCAATGTAAATCCTGGTGGGATGCATTTCGCTCATTCAAACCCAGGGAGGTTGCTAACCAAGTCCTACACTTGGACAACAGGGATAAACAGTTTGAGATAGATAGAAAAGCGGCTACTCTATGCGACACAAACTCATGGGAGTATGCGAGTGCAATGCTGGAAGTCACATTCTTGAGACAGCCAGACCAAAAGCACGTCCCTTTTGAGCAACATCACAACAATATCGTACGCAGAATTGCGTATCTCCTCGTATCTGAGAAGGAATATTTCTGGCGCACAAAGGCAAATTGTGGTGAGCGGGAGACAGGTACGCAAATTGTGACCCACACTCGACAGGTAAGTTCAAATCCCAACAACAACCAACCCAGCAAACAACAACTGAAACAAATACAAAGTGTGAACAGGTCTCACTCGGATGAATTCCCAAGGGAAAAAAAAGAAGTCCTCCCAAAACTAACAAAACTCCAGCAGGTATCCAACAACTGCAACAGGTAAGTTCAAATCCCTACGACAAACAACCCAGCAAACCACGACTAAAAGGATTGCAAAGTGTGAACAGGTCTCTCTCCAGTGGAGAAAAAAAAAAAGGCTTCCAAAGATCCAGCAGCAACGCATCGACTGCATTAACAACACTGCACAGGTGAGCTCAAAGCCACACCGACCTCCTCTCCCAACCCCCCCAACCCATCCTCCCCCCCCAACATCTCTATTTCCCCCCTTTTTTTTGCGAGCGAAGCCGCAACAGGTACCCTTGTTCTGATTGAATCCTCTAGCTACTTCAGTATTTCGACTTTTCTTTCCTTCAGACTTTTCTCGTCCTGGGTCTCGTGATATGTTTCCTCTTCACTGCCTGATCTCCTTTGCCTTGAGCAGTGTTAAGCCTTCCATCTGCACGGATTATCTTTGGGTGTTGCTATCTTGCCCTGAAGCAGCCAAACTCTCTGGAACTGCCTCGTTAGTTTCTCTTGTGGGCTTCCCCTTAACACTAATGGTTAACGGGGACCCCCTTCTCTCCCCCTGAATGGCATCTTGTACCTGATGCCTGCCTCCATGATGTCTTTTGTTGTTGCCCACCTTGTGCCTTTTTCCAATGTTTGATCATGAATCAAGAATCAACATCTCTCTCTCTCTCTCTCTCTCTCTCTCTCTCTCTCTCTCTCTCTCTCTCTCTCTCTCTCTCTCTCTCTCTNCTCTCTCTCTCTCTCTCTCTCTCTCTCTCTCTCTCTCTCTCTCTCTCTCTCTCTCTGTGTGTGTGTGTGTGTGTGTGTGTGTGTGTGTGTGCAAGTGTTGGCCTCAGCCCAGTCCTCTATGAACTCAGGGAAGTGCTCAGAAAATCAGACTTCGGTCCTCTTTTCTAGTCACAGAAGGCCCTTCGTTCCCTTGCAATAGCAGGGGCCTTTCAGACCTACTTCTATTGACTAGGCCGTGGTTTTCTCTTGGACATCTCCACTCTGGACCTGTACCGACTTCACTCGCTCCTGATAGGCATCTTCACCAACTTGATTTTCACACACCTCAACACATAAAAGTAATCCTGAATAAGGACTCGTTCCTTAAAGAATTTGGGTCATTTCTCAGTTTGTGCATGTCATCCCTGCATGAGGACCATATTAGTCTTCTCTGGGTTATTGCAATTTTAACGGATGTCCCAAGGGAGCAATGGGGGCTTGTATGCCTTTATGGGGAGGAGCGTTTGTGGATCTTCCCATATGTGTCCTCTTGACTATCTGGTGGGAAAGGAACCGGATTGATGCCCATCAGAACGGAAAGGAGGCATAGCCATAAGGCTGTGTTCTTTCTTTTGTTCTATTAGTCTATTCTATATACAAAGAAGGTTTAAAAAAGACAGTTTGGTGGCTTTTCCCTTGCATGGAGTTGCTTCCCTATTTCGCGATCTCAAGGGCCATCAAGGACTCATACATGGTTATCTCTGGCTCTTGGATCTCTTCGAGTTTCCTCTCATATACTGCAAGTTATGCAACTATACTGCTTCTGTCCTCTCTGACGCTTCCGGACAATCCACCAGTCCTTTGGAAGTAGTGGGCAGACAAACCTCATTTGTACTGCTGCTAAACTGGGAATGCCTGCTCCACAATCCTGTCGATGTCATATGTGCGATAATGCCATCCATAGATAGTGGTCAGACTCCCGCATGGTGCAAAAGTCCGTTTCCCGCATCCTTCACGAAGGCTGGCAACTGAGCAACTGGGAGATGGGAATGAATGGGTAGGTCATCCATATCCAAGAGGGCCATCCAGATCATGACCCAGAACCTTAATAAAAATGTTTTGGAAATGATTCCACAAGACGAACCTTGTACATCCTCCTTGCTGATCTTCAGCATGATCTAGTGCGATCGATCACTACCCTCATTGTGTTAAATCACTACCCTGACCATCCGAATGCATGATAAACCCTCTTGTAAGACCAGATTGGCATTAACCCCGGGTTTCGCTCTGAATATGGAAAACAAAATGGAAATGACAGCCTTTATTCTCCTGCGTTGTGCTGTGCTGCTGCTGTCTAACGCGGAAATTGATGTCTCATTGCCAGCCCTTGACTTCCATGGAAATATGATTACACGGAAAGGGGCAGTTCAGCTTTGGGATACGCTCCGCGACTCAGGCACTCTAAAGCACGTGGACTTCCGCTTCAATGCAGATGGGAGTGCTCTTGGTGTGTTTGACGAAGGTCGTCATCTCACGTCATTCCCCTGTCCTCGGTGGCCCTTCTGGGTCAATGTGGTGCGAAAGACGGAAAACACGGCTGGCGTAAGCTCACAGCAAGCCAGCAGTGCAGCAACTAATCATGATGAGCAGCCCCCATTATTGAATGCAAGGAGTGGTGCACAGTCTTCCTCCTCATCGTCATCATTACCATCATCATCAGCATCATCATCATCAAGGATTGAAAACCGGACGAGGACAGCGAAAAGGACACTTTCTACCACTAGCACCAGAGAAGGAAACATAACTGGTCGTGGAAGCGTAAGGACGAGAAGCTCACCATCACGTCACGCACATTCTTCCCCGCCAACTCCAGCGGCTTCGAAAGGATGGCAAGGGAGAGATATCCAAAGCCCATTCGGAATCACTGCAGCAGCCATCCAAACGTCATTGAGGGGTGACCTCATGTCAAGGACTCCTGGTCACGGATCCAATCATGGGCAACGACATGTTGTCTTCAAATTTGCATCGTCGTCGCCCAAGTCCAAAACATCGCAAGAGCCACGCCAGCACAATGTTGGAGATGGTCGTCAGACTCCCTTCCACTCTACTTTCTCCAAAGCAGGGTCCCGCCCCAGGGTTAGATTTGCAAATCGCCAGAAGAGTACAGATATAGTGGCTCCAACCTACCACAGCCATGTTAGCAAAAGGCAGCAAGAGAGACAAGTGTCACACTTGTTGGACGGAGAGGAAGAAGAAGAGCAAGAAAACTCCTTGTCAATGCGCAATTGCCAGACCATCAAGAGGTCATCAAGGAGTACCACGGTCTTGGGAGGAAGAGAAGGAGCAGTGCTGAGTGGGTCTCTTGGAAACGATGTGAGTGGGAGCAGAGAAAGGAGGCTCCCTGAGAATTACGAAAGCAACATGCACGAATGGAAAGCAAGAGGGGCAATGGCTGGTGACCCTCCCCCGCTTTCGCTGAGCAAGGAGGCACTGATGCAAAGAACCATCCTGCAGACCCGGAGGCCAATCCTGAAGGAGAAGGAGCCTTATGGCAGTGAACTTTTCAGAAATTCATCAAGTGGAGACTTGGACACGCTTCCTTACAGACCAGATTCTGCAGCCGGGGATTGGGGTGGTAAGAAAACTGCAAATGACTTGTCAGGAACCAGATTAATAGGAAACCGGCCAGGCCGGGGATTGGGGCTGGGGTTGAATGCCTTTCCACAATCGGAAAATTTCCCCGATTCCGCAGCCACAAGAAAGCGGAGAAAGTCTGGAGAGAAAGGGCATGGCGAGATGGATGTTTTTCCCCTTGGTTTCAATGGGTATGAAGGGGGTCTTCATCGTCTGCATGATCTCATAGATGAGGATGATGTTGATGTCGATCACCTTGGAGTGGGTCTATGGGGAGGTGATTACCAACACCACACCCCCCCAAGCGCTGCAAGGTTATCTTCTGCACAGAGTCCGACTCCCTCCTCAGAGGGATTTACTGTATGGAGGAAAAAAAACCTGGGCAAAGTCAGGGGTCTTCGGACAGAGTCTCGTGGAGAGAGTGGAGATGCAGCTCAGATGGTGGACATGTGGTTGGCCAGCCTCAAAGAACTTGCTCACTCCAGGGGCCATCCTGTCCCATGTGGGCATCATCCTTACAATGATGCTTTTCTACATGGTAGCCACTTCAAAAAGCCTGGGCTGGGAATCAGATCGTCACTGTCATTGGCAAGGACTCACACCGTGACTGCAAGAGGCCCAAAATCAAGGGCAGCTGTCATATGGGGGATATACTCTGGTGGTATACCGCAGAGAGGGCGGAGGAGGAAGCAAAAAATGCACCCATTGCAGCAGTACTCTGGCTTGGGAAGAGGTCAGATACAATGCGGAGGACGTGCAGGAGTCAATCAGATCCAGTCTGCTAAAAGGGCCAGCAAACACAGGGCAATAGCTGGCTCTGTCCCTGGGCATGAGAAGGGAGAAGGTAGGAAGAATGTTGTGATTGTTCCAAGCGGTTCATTTCGTCATCCTGAGAAACCGGGGGTGATTGTAGCGACAGGAATGAATAATGATATGCAGAAGTGGAGGGGTGGTACTGACAGCAAGAAAACAAAGACAAAGGCCATGGTGAGTAGTAGAGTGCCCCAAGCATGGGGAGATGGAGAACCCACCAATTTTGAGGAAGCAGAAGACCTCAATCTGGCAGAACAGCTCAGATGGGAAATGAATGAGCATGTGCCAGAACCGCCATATCTCAAAAGTGGCTGTGTTGTTGATAGTGCCAATGTGGTATTGCCCGCAAGCCATCACCCTCAAGGAGGAGGAGGGAAGAAGATGGTCAGGCAGCAATACACAAGGTCTTCAACAAGAAATAACAGGTTGAGAGCACCTTCAAACGTTATTGGTAGAACCAGGGGTGACGATGCGGCTGCCAATAATAGTGAAAAGCCGATCATCCAAGTTCCGTATGGCAGAGAACACCGAGCAAAACAAAGTCATAACCATGAGCCTACCCTCATTAGGATGAATACTACGGTCGTGGACACAAGTGATTTGAGCACCGACGAGAGAACGTACTGGAGGAAAGTTGCGAGAAAGTTGTCCTTGAAATGGGGTCTAGGCAAAAAAGGACCCTTGCCAACAGGGAAGAAGACTCCAGGGACGAGGAAAAGCGCTGGCGGCATTTCCAAGTCCATCAAGTCAAAGAAAGAAGGGAGCAATCTAGCAGTCAAGAGCTTGACCAGCTGCAATGATCGCTTGTTATCATCATCATCTGGCTCCAGGGCAACACTGCTGCTGAAGAACGGTGATGCAAAGAAGAAGTCACTTCTTTGTCATGATCATGATCATTCGCTTAAGGATAAAACACACAGCTATGACAAACGTACTCACAGTCCTGCATCATTGGACGATGGTGCAGGCGTTGAGGTTGCGCCTCAGATGGCAACAGCCACAGCGGAGGGTCCTCCCGTCGCTGAAGTGTCAGTAAGGTCTGCAGACTACAATGCAACAACTGGTAATCTGCCTCCCCTTCCTCCTCCTCCTCCTCATTGTAAGCAGAGCCGGGCAACAGTGGTAAAGTCATCCGAGTGTCAACAAGAAGGACAAGGGTTGCAAGGACAGGCCGTCGCCAAACCTGATGGCCAACTTCTGAGTGTTGCAGAAAGACCAATCCAAGAGTGCATTGAGAAGAAACAGATGTCACTTGTGGCTGATGAAAGTGCATTGGAATCAGTAGTACTTACGGAGAGAAAGCTCAATGCAGCTGCTGACCATGTCCATGGTCCACCTCAGGGTGTTGAAGGCTATGGCATCAGGAGATCTGCTCAAACGACCACAAAGACCATACAGGGTGCACAGCACTGGTTCACGAAAGGAACAGACGAGGAAGCCACTTTGATGAGCACAACTGGTGATGACAATGCTCTTCTATTTCAAGATATTGGAAACATGGCAGCAGGACGTGAGGCTTCTTGTAAGAGTGACAATGCTGAACATGCAGCCACCAAGCGTTATGTTATTGCTAGTCATCCGAAAAAGTCGACAGATGCCAATTGTGGCCTGTTTGTGTCAGTTCAAGACGAGGATGATCCGGACGAGAACGATCACACAGGTCAGCAGTGCCCAGAGGAGATATCAGCAAACAGATCTCCACTGAAAACCATGGGTGTGGTCCATGAGAAGAATCCGTATTTACAGCTGGAGGCATTTAGTCAACCAGCACACCACATGCAAGTCCTGTGCCGCTCAGTACGTCATGGTGCTAGTTCAAAAGTTGATTTGACTATTCTCAGTGAGCAGGATCCAAGGATGGAAGTTGTGCAACACTCAAGCAGGCATGGAAAGGGAGTGAGAGGAGGTTTTGATAAAAGGATACTAGAATCATGCAAGGAAATAACGCCTGCAGAAGCAGCACAGACACGTAATGATGGCGATGATGAGGATGGTGACAATGGTAGTGATCACAGCGATGATGATGAAAGGAGGTATGGTTGTCAGTGTCGGTCAGAAATCCCAGTGGGACCTGCAGGACAGGAGTCACCCTGGCAGGAGTTAAAAGGTATGAGACGAAGGTCCTATACTCCTGAAAACGCTAGAAATCAGGAGGGACATCGACATGTCACCATAGCCCACCAAAGCGGATCAAGTACTCCTGAAAGACAAGAAAAAGAAAAGCACACTGTAGGATTGAGGAACGCAGGCAATGATGCCCAAGGGACTCTTTCCAGCTCTACGGCAGGTTTCCGGCACCAGAGATTAGGCAAGGGCGTGCTAGATAGGATGGTGCTGGTAGATTCAGACAGCCAATCCGGTAGCAATAAGATGCCCGTTTCTGAACAGGATCACGGCACACGCTTCTCAGCACTCTGTGGGGTTCCTGCCCCAGGCCGGACTTTGATGAACCAACACCTTGCTGGGACACATGAGGACAGTGGCAAAAAGGATGATGTGATTAATAAAATCAGAGATGCTGAAGATGATACAGTAGAGGAGACTTATGGGAGTGAGGACTTTGAGGTTATTGGATCACAAGATGAATGCTCAGGTGAGTCGATGGCAGACGTCTATGGTGCAGAAACCATGCCATTTAGGACATCAAAAGTTAGCGTCGCTGCCCTCAGCACCAATGTTGAGCAATTCACTGCTTCTGACAACACCAAAAAACAACTTGATCACTCGCCACTGCATAGAGTCCGCCGTGCCCTGCAGGATTGCAAAGGAGACCCTCGCATTGCTCCCCGTAGAGTTGAACGCAATGAATCCGACAGTCCTGTTGACACCTCCGATGGCTATGTCCAGTCATCGGCATCAGTGAGAGCACAGGCGGAAAGGGTTGGTGCTCGCCGGATTGTTCGAGGTAGGATGTTGGGAGATGATAGTGGGGAGATGACTTTCATGGGCAGGGACGAGACAAATCGAGTCTCACAGACAAGCGGGCGAGAGGGAAGATGGGCACAAATTAACAGTGCAAATGACTTGCTCAAGAGACAGAAACAACAAGAGCAGCAGCAGCAACAGCGAGCGCAGTCATGGGGAGTTGTTGGTGGGGACACTTACCGTGGAGCTCAGTCATTGACACACATCTTGCCTGACAAAGGTCTGTCCATGTTCCCTCACAACTCTCAGAAATATTGCTTGCAAATGAAGAAGGTGTGAACGGAAATCTTTCTTGTCGTCTTCTGACCTTGGCATAGTGTATTGTCTCCTGGTCAAACAACACCCGCTTCCCCCAGTTGAGCCAAAAGAGACCCAATACTAGAAAGTCCAGAAGTAAATGTATGGGAGTGCATAATCTCCCTCTGAATAACTTTGACCTGATCCCCTACATGCATTAAAGCAGATGGGCGACGGGGCTGGGTTTTGTGGATCTCACACATCAAAAGAAGTTAAAGAACATTGAACTGCTTCTCTCTGCCTTGTGACCGTGCTCACACAGCTACGCACAGTGGATCAGCCCGGCAACAGCTAATGTGGATGCTGTAATCACGCTGGAAGCCCAGCCAGCCATCGCAAACGACATAAATGTTGTTGCAGTGGCTGGAGGGGATGATAGCCTGCACCCTACCTTACAATGAATCGATTAATTCGTCATGGTAGAGAATCAAAACGCCGTACGCAACGTACTCGAGCTTTAAATCAATGTCCTCAAAAGCAGGGAGTATGCCTTCGTGTTTCTACAAGAGCACCAAAAAAACACAACTCAGTTTTACGCAAAATAGCTAAAGTGAGATTAACCAATCGAAATGAGGTTATTGCATAGGCAAAGTGCATATTCCCGGAACTCCACAAGCTCTTACGAGCCTGTGCTTCGGACCTCTATTATGTAAGGTTGTTCTTCACGAACTAGACAAATTCGTCTCTTCGACCCTCAACAAAGCCAAATTCGACACTGAAACTCCCCGTTGAAGACTCAGTGGCGAGGTGATCGTAAGAGCTTCCTCTTTCCAAATGACAAAAATCGGCAATCGGCAAACCCTACAACAAGTTCCAAATAACAGGAACTACCCAATAATAAATAAGGGGAAAAAAAAAAACAACAACAAAGAAATTACAGTTAAATAGAACAATTTTCAATCTTGTCCATTGGACCCTTTGTGTTTTGTAACTAGGAATAACAAAACACCAAATTTGATAACTGAAAAAGGGAAAACAAAAAAAAGGGCGAAATTCACATATATGTTTTCAGTAGAGCCTCTTGAGAACTCACGAGTTGTTGTAATTCCGAAACAACAGATTCGCTTCTTGCTTCAAAAGTAGCCTTGAAAGTTTCGCCAAAATTTTTTTGAATAAATAAAACAAAACCCACAAAACTAAAAGCTACTAGGCCAGCTCGGGAGATAAAAGTCGGAACGAATGAGGATAACGAACTCGATTATATAGTGGTTGAACGACATGATTCTCTAAGTCAACGAGTAATGGCTTGGACTCTTAGGAATGGTTCTGGTGGTGCATATAACATCAGAGTGATACAAGCAATCCCTAACACACCATTGCGGCAGCTGCCAGAAGTGTGCCCCAAAAAACTGAATCGCAACTGCAGCCCAACCCTACAGGAAAAGGATCTCGATAGTCGAGTTGAGCCCAAGGCTAATCATTTACCGCCCACTGCCAGTGCTGATTCTTCCTCTGCCCGGTGTTGGAAGGTGAAAAGGAGAAGTGACATAAGCTTCGAATGGAAGCCTCAGTAAACGGTGGCAGTAACTCTAACTGTCAACTTTAGGGCAGTTATAAAATATTTCCCTACCACCACCAGCCCCTTCACCTACATCTTCTACTACATCCTCATCATCTACTACATCCTCATCATCTACTACATCCTCATCATCTACTGCCTCCCCCCCTTCTTTCTTCTCCTCCCCTTTCACCTCTTCGTCATCCCGATCAACACATTTATGGTCAGACTAGCCGTCACAGATGCCTCTTTGGCAGAGACGTTCCCCATCCTTAGACAACAGCCTCGTCCGTACATGAACATCGTGATCATCGGCCCCAACAGGAGTCAGGGATCTACTTCGCCGCTATGCTGGCAACCAGGGTTGTCGATCCCCGGCTCCAGAACCCCAGCGGGTGTAGGGGGGTCCGGGGGTGGGCACCCCCAACCTCGGCTCCAGACACCCAACCCCCCCCCCCCCCCAAAAAAAAAAAACAAAAAAAAAAAAAAAAAAAAAAAAGTGGGGGGTGCGCAGCGGGAGCCTGCACCCCGTGGCCTTACCCTGTAAAACCCCATTTTTACCCCACCTCGGACCACCCCCAGGGCCACACCCAGCGTCGGTGAGACCGGGGTGGCCCTAGGTGCGGGGCCGACAGCGCGGCCGACAGGGGGCGGGGCTGTGGGTCCGCGAGCGAGGGCGGCGGCAGGGGTGCGGGG